GAGACCTTCCTCCTTCGCTACATGCGGGACAAATCTCCCTTATAGCAGATTAGATCAAACCTAAAGAAAAACGAGATGCAAAAAGTGCTGTCATCGCAGGCATATTTAACGATATTTTGGGTTATCTAAATGTAGACGAGCAATGGAAGCGACGGTCCAGATGGTGCGGGAGTGCCTTAGAAAACGCAAAAATCGGCTTATTCGGAGAAATGTGGGGTCTCAAAAAAGAAGTAAAGTCAGGGGTTGGACGTGAATGTTATGAAAAAAGTCGCATAGAAGGAGCTGTTCGAACGCTTGCGCGGTTGCATACAGCAGCTGGCTGCAGTATATTTACTGCGAGCAAGGTGTGGGTCCTCATGAGAATGGTGCAACCTCTACAGGCTTTACAACGCTTAACGCTCGTCCACCTTGAGTATGTACGTCAGCTAAGCCGATTTTGGGGGCCCTTATTACGCCCTACCTTGACTGTTTTTCAAACCGACGGTGGACCTTAGACTATCCCGGAGGTCACAAGGCCATCCTTGTAATGATAAATCTAAGAAACCATTTTCAGAGCAACCGACTCTACGCAAGTGATGGGCCAACTACAGTTTGCAAAAAAATCGAGCAGGGAAGCAGTGACCGTTTTTGCAGACGCTGCGAGAGAATCCTGGGAATCTTTCTCGAAACGCAAATTTGGGCAGCATTTCAGAAAACTTGGAACGGCCCTACCGCTGATTATTGCATACGGCGGTATCCTTACACTACCTTTAATCACCGCCGATCGGTATTCAGGAACATTAGTAAACGTCCATTACGTTTTCATCCTTTATTGGTTCTACACTGACCCCAATTCATCTTGTTATTTTAACTTTTGCTCCCTACTCACCCTATCTTTCCTGCCTCTCTCCTTCTCTCTTCCTCCTTTTGAAGAAAGGAGCTGATCGGCCGAATTTGGGAGCGAATCAACGGTAGAAGCACTGAGCAAGTAATGCAGTGATTTCTTTATTGCGCGAAACCACACATTTGGATGGATATGTACCTACGGTACCGCGATTGAATCCTTCGATGCTTGAAAAAGTTTTTTTCGCATTTTTGTATCGCGCAGAATAGTGTGGCGACATTTCAACTTAGTAGTTGTGATCCGCAGGATGCCTTGCTTGAATTCTCGAAGAAGTAGACCCATGTAGGAACCATTATGAAGATTTCAAGATTTCAACATTCTCCCAGCACTGCCACTTCGTGATAAAACTGCAGATAAAACGGTGAAAAAACGATAAGACACGCAAGGAGACGGTTTCCAAGGCTCTAAGGTAGACTGGTTGCAAACTGTTCACAGCGTCCATATTTCTGAGCATCATAAACCCTCACAGTCTTGAAGCTCCTTTGCGGAGGCTTTCCCGTGAAGAAGACCGTCTGTATCCATGGCGGTCACGTTCAGCTCCGCTTGGTGGACCTAAACAATAAGGTTAAATTTTATTGCATGAATCGGTTGGTCTATACTTAAACTTAGACCTTTGTTCTGTTCCTCTTTCGACTTTGATTTCGTATCATAATGTTAAGGGCTCTGAATGTGGTCTTGCAGATCTTTTGGAAGACGGACAATGAATAAGTCAGGGCTTCAATCCTCACAAGCATGCTACCAATAAAACTACCCAGACGTGATGAAAGATTTGTTTGGCGAGGTTACAGTGCTGTTGTCAACCAGAACTACACGTGGTTGACAACGTTCCTGTAACCGGTTGGCAAGGGCGGGATTCGATCCTCAGACTATGAGTGCAAGAGCCAAGAGCCGCTATCATATATCCTTTAGACCCCATAGTAGATGGGTCTTAAGTTCGTTGAAAATGGACCAAAATACATGTAACGTGTTTGCATCAAGGCGTTCGTTGACTTCCAGCTTTTGTTGTACCTTGCTTGTGCTTGAGCGCGAAATCTTGCATCCTAACGAATGCAAAAGTATGAGGGCAGTTGGAGGTTTCTTGCAGCTAACAATCCCTAGTCTGCCTAACGAAATAGCGGGCCTAGCTTCACAGAGCGTTTCGTAATCTCAAAAAGTGATTGCTGCATCGCTGTATGGCTGCTTTCATAGTCCGCCGGGGTGCAGGCGTGCCGGCGTGCCAGCTGAGGTAATGCTAGGGGGAGGAAGATAAGCCCCTTCGAAGGGCAAATGCAAATGGTTTTTGATCTTGTTTTTCTTTGTTTCCAGCCATTCAAAGGGGCTTAGGCGCGACGCGACCACGACTGGCTGCCCTCCTCCTTCTCCCTACCACTACCTCGGCTGGCACGCCGGCGGACTATGAAAGCAACCTATCACTGGTTGCGTATAGACATCTGACGGAGCAAGCTAGGAAAAGAAGTCGTTGGACGACGGGAGACATAGGCAAAAATGAATCAGAAGATGCATGCATTGCAAAAATCTCTTTTTAGTAGACAGAATTGTTTTAAAAAACTTTTTATAGTGGAGAAATTAATGAACAAATTCAGCGCGTATTTCTTACCAAACAATCAGTAAATCTTTCGAGGACAGCCACCTCACTGAGTTTCAGCTTTTATCACTGGCTTCCTATAGTTACCCTTATCTTGCAGTAAAAAAGGAAAGTATGGCTGTTCACTTGGTTAGCAATACGTGACGCTGTGCATCATCCATATATGATAGGTCATTAATAGGATCATCTCAAAAAATATGTAGGCTGAATACATATAGTCTCAGGGTGAGAAGAAAGTCATTCAGAACTAAGCAACTAGAACTGAATCCAAGAGTAAGAAATTGTTCTCTTTCTGACTTAATGCCTAAGCTGATTTCGCTGCAGGTCTGGTATCCCTCTTATTATAAAGCAGAAACTTGGTGTGTCTGTTCGTCCGAGAAATTTATAATTATAATAAAGGTAGTGATATGGAAAACCTAGTTCCATCCTACATTTCTCTACATTTGTTCACCTATGGGGGCGGGGGGGGGGGGGGGGGGGGGGGGTGGGAATTTCTATCTGCTTTGGAAAAGTAAGGAATGGGGGCCCGGTGCAAGCCGGGCGGCCCAACTAGTCACTCAATAATTTGTTTCGATTACTGGTAGAGTTGGTCGCCAATGTTTGAATCATTTAAGCAAACAAAAGGTCTTTTGGTCATTAAAAAGGTCATTTAAAATGGAACTCCATTACCATGCGTCAATAGGATAATAAAAGTTTGCTCAGAACTCTTGCTCGCCGCTTTTGCGATCGGATCGGTGCCAAATAAAACCATGGAACCAAACTGTTAGCTCATCGGCGTGCTCGGACATGGTCTCCCAATATCTCAAAAACTTTGAGAGTTATCCTATACCTACCGAAACCTCTCCTAAAGCATGATCAATGATCAACCAGTTTTCGCTCCATCGCCATGCTTTAATTGAAATCAGGGAGATGACCAGGGTGCCAATGAAGTGATCAATTCTCTTGCTTTGTCTAGCCATTTTCGATACAAGATCACTCAATGTAGGTGAAATCAATGAGCAAAGTGACTTCTACCAGAGTACCCAATATTTCACCTAAAGTCAGTCAGAACCACCGCTGCAGTGTTCGTTGCTGTTTAAGAAAGGATTTCAAGCACAGATTACATTTACTGCTATTTCATTTTAATGAGTTGTAATCCATTGGTCTAGTCGTGATATCCTGTCGCCTTTGCTCGGTTTCCCCTCCAAATTTTGGATGATCCAGATGTGTGGCCAATGTTATCGGGGCTGGGCATTATTTTATTACCATATTACGGTAGGACTGCGAAATGAGCGAGATGTAATTATGACTGGGTCGATTAAACAATGACTGTAGTGAAGTTATGGGCGGTGCTGCACTTCGCTATCACTCTTCACTGCCACCAACAACCACCAACCCCCATATAATATCAGGCGTTGGTTGGTTCCTAGTCTTTCGTCGTGTACTAACCTTACCTTTTGGGAAGGTCCATTTGACGGCATAGTGATGTGCTTTCAAGAGAGACTCCCATCCAAAGTAATTTGAGCACTCATTACTGCTCATTATTGCTTACCAGTCAATGAGCCTGACGAACGTTTAATTATCAGTAATTGCTCTGGAAATATTACCACTCTTGACCGTATGCTGTGTTGCATGGAAAGGAATTTAGCCTATGCCATCCAACAACTGTTGATTTGTGTATAAATGTGAGTTGCTGTATGACTCGAGAGCGACGGGCCATTTGAGCTTCTGATAAATGGCAGTTTGTTCGATGTTACCACTGTCATGAATATTTTTCCCTTATTTTTTGATTCTGCATTATTGCGTCAGGGTAAGCATGATAACGCCTTCCTCATTGGTTCTTAGTTTGGCGGCTTAATATTGAAACATTTCCTAATTCTCGAGCAGTTTATGAACATTGTAACATTCCCAACAGATTCCTCCACCCCCGGATTCCTCGTACATTTTACTGAAGAGGGATACATGTACAAAACAAAGTAGCTACTAGGGATACCCTGAATTTTCCCTTCCCAGCTTGTACATTAACAAGAGGTTCGAACAGGCGGGACATTCCTTGTAGATTTTTGAGCTACGGAAATGTTGGACATGCGGTACCCTGACAATTGCCAAGCGTGCGCCTTTTTTGAAAAACTTCATCATTCCTACCGGAACGTCGTCGTTGCCTGATAAAATAGTATGAACCCAATTCCTTTTGCGTTGTTTAATAGCTTTCATGCTGATAGGCAGCTGGTGCATCACCGTAACCATTGTTTGCCGTGCAATTTAGGCGTTGATTTTCTCAGATTGCATGATTACCCAATGCGCCCGTCGCTCCCTCTTCCCGCTTAGCTGGCCACATCTATTAATTAGCCTAACAAAATCGTGCCTTCATATGAATACGGTAGAGCGGCGATCCGCACAAGCATTGCTGAGTCGACTTCTTCAACTCACTATTGTTTGATTTACTGTTGTTACAAATTTGACTTATAAAGTTCCTGACTCCGTCTATTCAGTGATGACACAACCCTCATCAAGCTGCATTCAGATATATCACATAGGTTCACTCTTTTTAGAATGGTTCCTCTAGAAAGTGAAAAGGATCCGTCGCCATTCAGCGTTGAAAGCATTCTGAGACGGGAAGACAAGGCTCTCAAGTCACAAGCTATGACAACGACTTCCTCTTTCAACGTGTCTCTCGTCCCCATCTCACAGAACCGTATAAAAATTGCGAGTCCCTACGAGGCTGCTATGCTATTTTTGAGGCGGTCCAGGTACTGCTGAAAATTCTGCACATATCTTCCCAGTTTTAATCGGATTATTTTAATGAATTTTCAAGACTATCCATTCCTCTCTCTGAAATCACACCTGAATCTTCAAGTTCACCACCACGCTCAATCGCCCCAGTGCAGTGGATAAACGCTTGGAGTGCTCGAAGCGATTCAGCCGGTGAGTTCTGCAGTAAAGCCCCTTCAGTCACGCTACATCTGTTAACAAATATGTTTTTCAGTCAATGAGGATGCTAAAATACAAATGGGCATAAACAAGTGCATGCTGCGAAAACATAAGAACAATCGCAAACCCCGCACGCCGTTCAGCACTCAGCAACTTCTTTCACTGGAAAGGAAGTTTCAACAGAAGCAGTATCTGAGTATAGCAGAACGAGCCGAGTTTAGTGCCAGCCTACAATTGACCGAAACACAAGTAAAAATCTGGTTTCAGGTATGATTAAACGCCCCTAATACGACATCGCGGGATACTTATTAAGTCTCACTCCGGTCCTTGCACACTTTTGAGATCACTATCTTGATCATAGATGATACGGGAGCTTATAATTAGCGGGTAGTTGATTTACTCGCCACGCTCAATATGATAGACCGTACTGTTATGACGTGACAGCGACCTACTCCAAGAACAGTGGTAGAGAAGTATAGTAAGATAATATCTGGCATCCCTACCTTTCAGTTTAATTTGCGTGTTTCACGCATTCGAACTTTTTTCGTCACCAAAATGTGCGGAAGAAGACTATTGCACACTCCTTTCGAACCCATTGAAGGATCTCTCATAGGACTCCCATTCTAAACGGGTTGTTCGAACAAACAAAGTTTAAAATGGTTGCAGTTGTACGCGCTGATTTCAGATCTAGGTTCGATTTTAGACTTTTCAGTTCTGAAGTTAATGTTCTCTCAGTTCATTAAAACGTCTCTAATAGGAATCAGTGATCTGGAGCATAGCGAAAAATCAACCATGCCACCCACCAGTCAGTATTATCAAGGAGGGCTAATCGTTTTTTATGCCATCGAGTGGCGAGTTTTAATCGCGCGATTCATCATCGCCTCATTCCCACACATCTGCGCTCTTTAGTGATTTACAATCCCATTCCTTCGCAATTTGCAGGCTTCCTTGACAATTAAATGCGGTACTCCAACCCCAGTTCATGATTCTCACATCTGGCAGGGGGGGGGGCATCTCGGCATGCCTCGAAATTAGCCAAACTCGACTAATTAGCATTGTGCCATGGTCAAACCGCGATTAATTATTTGATTTTTGAAATTCGTTCATGATTGAGTGATTTCCTCAAAGGAAGCAGACACTAGAGTTACAGGCACAGTTCACGGTGAAAATGGCTCATGAGATATCTCGCCAGGACAAATCTGTGACCCCCTCGTATATGTACCACATGTGGCGCTGTCAGCTCGGAAAACGGCCTAGATAGGCCGTTATAGAAAGCATGCGCGGCAGTATGGAACTGTGAAAGGTAGTTCCGGGCAGTTATAGCTTGTTTTAGTCAGCTCTTTGCGCAAATGCTGCAACTGAAATCTCGTCCAAATACCCATTCCAGGTCATTTCCTTCATGGTAATCTCGTACAACCTATGTTTTCACTATTTCTCAAAATCGTCATTTTTCACAAAATCGGCGAGTCTTCTCGCTTTCTTCACCATCGACGCACTATTCTCAACCAGAACTTATTCTTTCCGACTTGAAAGGGTACCTCAAAATTATCGTGAACTGTGCACCTAAATGGCCACCGAGCTGCGACGTGGGCTCGGAAATTATCTTGTTATTTTCATTTCATAGAGAGCTCAATGTATGGATGTACTGAGAGGGACACTTCCCTATCAGTAGAACTACAACTTTCATGTACTATACGCCAATGGCAGGCACTGAAATCTTGATGATTTTCAAGTCGCGACGACTAGTCTTTGATGGTTTTCTGTCGTGTATTCATTCAGAACATTTACCTTGCTCTTCTCCCTTTCACTTAGTAGGACGAACTAGTAAATTGTAGGTAGGAATGAAAAGTCCATCTATTGATGAATTCCTTTTTTATTATAGACCAATTTCGTAAAATGGAAGCAACTGAAGCTAAGTAGTGGATTCATCCGTAAATTATCACACATTTCATATCCGCCCTTGCAAATACCGCAAACAACTATCTCCTAAGTTCCATACTTTCGTACTACATTACTTGGGTTACTCTATTAAGTACAAGCGAATGCTTTTCTCATCATTGAGAATGCACGTCGAGTGATATGTTATTAAAATTTTTATCTATGCCTGATGCATAGTAATTTTTTGTCAAAATAAAGTCTCTATTTTTTGTGGAGCAAGTATTCCACCAACATAAAATTGCTCCCTCCCCCTACCTACCCCATTTCAGCTCCCCCCCCCCCCCCCCCCCCCCCCTCGCGCGTCCCCCCTGCTGCGTTCGCGGTGTATTTTCTCGCAATTGCCGATCAAGGTGAAATTCCGTTTGCGTTCAAAGCCCGAGTAAATGGAGAAGCACCTTGATACTGCAGTTGAATAGAAGTCGGTAAAAGGGGAGAGAGCAAGGGGCTGGATAGGTGAGACGAAAACGGAAAGGGGTTTCGGGAAAGAAAAAATGGGTGTCTGATTCACTGGGTTTTTTCGAAAGAATCTTCTGCATTATGTGTGTAGTATGTTGTATATTTTCCCCCACCCCGAGGAAACTGAATACAGGTACCAACATTTCCATGATAAATGCTCTTATTCGAGACAAATCACGATATTTCAGAATCGTCGCGCGAAATCAAAGCGTTTACAAGAGGCTGAAGTGGAGAAGGCGAAATTTGCTCATGCTAGCGCATTTGCAGCAGCAGCCGTGGTGAACGACTTATCAAAAACATTTGTCGCCTTAAGATATCCGACATAGTGGTAGGACATGTGTGCAGCATCTTTAATGTTACCTTGCATAGTCGCAGTCATACGCTGTGTATTGTTGTTCATTTTCCTTCTGTTATTGATCTCGGTGACGTTTTTCTCTTTGATGTAATCTTGTGTTCTAAGAAAATATAATTCCACACAAAGGCGCTAAGTTACAGGTGTATGGGGAAGAGGGGCAGTTATTGGGTTGTTCGGAAAGGAATGCGCGGTTGAGTCAAAAAATTGTTTGGTATAAAAACGAAATTAGACAAGATTATTTCAAAAGGTAATCTCCATTACTATCAATGACTTGTTGCCAACGTTTATGCAAAGGATGAATTCCTCTTTTAAGAACACGGCTGGCCACGACTCAAAGAAGTTGGGCACCCAGAATTGGTCTTCTTTGCGGTTTGCGATTTTGCTCTCGGCCAGAGAGTGCTGCATCGACTGGAACAAATGGTAATCGGATGGTGCTACGTCTGGGCTGTATGGCGGATGAGGAAGGACTTCCCAGATCACTTCCTCGATTCTTGCCAAAGTGATTTGTGCACATGTGTACGAGTGTTTGCGTCGCTCAGCTGGTGCGGTACTCATTTTTCGCACCAGTTCATCCTGCCATCTGCCAGTAAATGTTCATGGATGGTAGAGTTTGAGCAGCCGAAAGGTGTTGAGAGTCCTCGAGTAGTTTGGCGTGTATCCCATTCAATGACGGACTTTAACACTTGGTTATCGACGACTTGAGGCCGACCCAGTGTTCTTCCTCCTCCTAATGCTCATTACCGTTTTTGAAGCAGTGGAAACATCGTCGACACTGGCCTTCTGACAAGGTTTCTTCGCCGAACACCTCAGATATGGCACGACGAGATTTAGAGCTTCAACACTGCACAAGGTATGTCCCTGACGGAATCTTTCCACAAACTCGCCAGTGAAGCGAGGTGATCTCAGAAGTGACGATGAACTCTTTTCTCTGGCTCAATAAAATTAACAAAATAAAACTATATAAAACGAAAAATTTTGTAAAAATGAGGCTCAGAATCGCACTTTGGGTTTGGAAGCACTGTAGGTATGAATTTTGGTAATAGTGTGAGCAGACCGACAGCGCGGTCACATAATCGCAAACCAGGTATTCTAAGTACTACCTCCAATGCTTCCATGACAAATCTTGCCAGAGTACCTGAACCTTTTTAGTACTACTCCATTGACCATATATATATTTGTAATAAATAAGCTCCTATAACGCATTCACATGGATCATGTTGAATATAAATACCATGAAGTTTGTTAATAAATATGAAAATGTTAAGTAAGTTTCAAATGTGCAAATAAAGGAAAAAACATGTTGGCACCCAACATTGGGTGCCATGGTCCCTTGCGCCAGTCATAGTGGCACCCACGGGCGGGTGACATGGTTGTCAAAGGGTTAACGAGGGAACGTGAACATGACTGAGATTTCAGTGAAGGCATGCCCACCGCAGTAACATAGGTATTCATAGTACAGCAATAATTGATGAAGGCACGTAGAACATGCTCATTTGTGAGTGATAAGTGTTATGTTAGTGGCAAAATAAAAATGATCGAAGCGCGGTTGCGATACAGTGCTTAGGATCTCCTTTCACTGCATGGCGTCAATCATGCTGCAGAGGAAGCATATCATTCCGATGCCCATGTTAAGAAGATGTTAAATGAAAGAAGAAACAGCCAACAATGATCATATCGCACCTGTCCAATATTGGCCGATATTTTCTGTAGAATCCGCACAACCTCATTACCGTGTTTCTCCAACTCTGCCAGAAGGTTCTGAAAAAACGTTTACGAGTTAATAGTGGTACAAGAGATTGAAAACCCTGCTTTCCTATCCAGCGAAAGCTCTCTAAAGGCTTCGTCCCCGTGTCTATATTTATGAACAATTACGAAGATTACCTGCTTCTGTTCCTCGAACGTATTGAGAAACTCGTCATATTCGCGTTCTTTTACCATCAAATCGCGATATTTCTCGTTATTTTTTGCTATAAAAGTGGTTTGAGTAAAAAAGTATTGTAAGTGAAGTAAAAAGTATAAAGTAAAAAGTAAAGTAAAAAAGTAAAAAGTGAAGACAGGGTACAAACTCGCATGTTAATTATTTGTATATGCAAGGAAGTTACGCAAATATGAAGCGAATATGAAGGCTCACAACGAGCTCAAAATCTTTTTGGCTACACGCAGGCTTTCACTACCCATCATAGCGATGAATAGCACTGAGAACTGCTGGCATTTGCAATTGCACAACATTAATGGTTTGTCCTTGGTAAGACCCCCTGCTACTGACAAAAGAATAGGGAGCTTGTTTCCATGTTTACAATTCAATCAAAGGTGATAAAACACTCGGAATAAAACATGAAAGCACCCCCATCTCAAAGGTTTTGGCTAGAAATTCTCGAATAGACACTTAGGAAGAAATTTTGGCATCATTCACACTTACCAAGTTTGTTGTCAGCACTGGAGTCGAACTCGCGAATCTCCTCGTGAGCCGTGTTGATGAGTTCGTTTGTTTTTTCAATCCTCAAAAAATGTTCTTATTCTGTAGATATCTCTCGGGTACTATGTATTAAGATACTGTTCACAGGTTTTATAAAAGTTGTCAATTATTTTGACTCAAGATCAGCTCCAAATTCTTTGTCACTAGCTTACAGTCATTGGGACATGGGGTTGAATTTTTTGGTGGTGGCTCCTATTTGTTCATTGCTGTTTATCAGCTCAGCAATATATATCAACAGCCTGCAGTACTACAGTAATCTCGAGGAGCGATAAGGTTTGGTTGTAAGTGTGGTGGTGGGAGAAGATAATACGAAAAAAGAAAGTAGTCACATAAACGGTTGATTATATAATAAATAGCCTTTTTAAAAACCTCATTATGAGAGCGCATCGAAGGGATCTCTGCTAAAATTCTACTATAATTCTCACAAGGTTGGCGATTTGTGGGCAAAACTCCAGTCTCGGGCGGGACTCGAACCCGTACTTGTCCTTTCCGGGAACCGTGCTCTTATCCCTTACACTACCGAGACCCCTCTTGCCCTCGCCTTCTTAATGGCTTATATGCCATAGCTTATCAGCACTCA